AGGAGGGTGCATAATCTGTTTTGTAAAAACATTTCTGGATTTTATGCTTGTAATATAACATGACCTGATAAGTTTCCTCAGGCTTAAAGGCTCAAGAGGAGGAAGGATGAGGACATAATAAGATTCTGTTTATCAAAGTGCTACTATTTAATTGAAACATTTCAGGAAATCTCACTTGGGGAAGGAATTTGGTCTCTGAACAGCAACAAACTATGTTAAGACTTACTGTAAAAGTAAAATTTAATTCTTTACTAGCATACACCTAGACGTACCCATTCTGAAATTTCAGAGAGATTGGAAAAGTAAAGCTTGCTGTTGCTACAGATCCCCAGATGGCACAGGCATCTCTAAGCCTTTATCGTAACAGTGGTTGAGAAAATAGAACAATAGCTTTTAAATCCCTGTTCTAACACTACACAAGCCAAGAAGTACCATTTCCATGTTTTACTGTATTTATTTTATTTGCAGAAGGCAGTGTATTATCCAGAAGTATTGCAGCTGAGAATGCTTTTCCCTTGGGTAATACATTTAATTTCAGAGAAGTGATGTTTTCCCAAGATCATTTCTCACTAGTAAATATTTAAAAACTGTCTAATTTCCAAATAATGTATGGCATGCTTAAATTAACTAATTTAATATCACTATTTAAACCTAATTCAAATAAAATTGAATTCACTTTTGCACTTATAGGGAAGGGTTTGTAAAGGACCTCTTTCACAATTTTTGGATTTTTACCCTTGTGACTATATCCCAGTCCCAAATTTTGAAATACTTTAATTCATCCACTCACCACAAAACAGAATATTAATATATCACCCATAAGTTGTTACATGTATAGTACTAGCCGTTAAGTTCATCAGATTTTTTAAAATACTAACATTATAAACTATTATAGAGGTAAATGTTGATATTATAAATATGTTTATTTCCTTTGCTTTTGATAATTAAGTGTAAAAGCACAAGTTTACATACTGTAAGCTGTCAATCCAATGCTATTTGCAGGTGCTGTCAGCATCCTACACACAAAACATCAATCTATAAGAAGTTAAATGGATGTATTTGGGGGAGGGTGTTCTCTGATTCCTTCTTCAGGCTTTGAATATGTATTTGGCCATGAGGACAGACATAGACAGATCTCTGGTGATGCCTAATCACGTCAGAAGCTGTCCAGAGTCTCTGGGAATCAGGTGGCAATGTAAATGTTGTTGTTGTTGTTGATGATGATGATAATAATAATAATAATCTTTGTTTCAATCCCTCTTATTTTTTAGTTAGAGAGCTATGTTCTTTCTGAGGAGAAGGTTTTACTGTCTAAGCTACTTCTGTCAAGCCTTCAATTTCTTTGCCCTGGGTATAACTGAATAACTGAGCATCTAGAACAGCAGAAAAACAACAGAATAAGGTTGCCTGCACTGAAGCTTATTACAAAGAAACAGCTAGCACAAATATTAAAAGATGCCAATACTATAATATCAAATATAAGCACCAGCTCACTGAAAGAAACAAACCTACTAATGTACAGCACAGCTGCAGTTTTAACTGAATACCTTGGGTGAAAAATCAACAAACAAGAAAAAAAGCCAAACAGTGCACCACCAAAATGAAAGATCAGGTTGGATAATAACATCAGCGTGCTAAGATCAGATGCAAGCCAGCTAGAACAGTTGAAAGAAAAGAAGCTGAAGAACAAGAAGATCAAAGAATACCTGATCATGAAATATCACCAAAAAACAAGGAAGATCAAAGAAGCACTGGAAATAATAAAGCAGCAAATAACAGCCATAGCCAAAAAGATCAGCAAATACGATGCTTGAATTGCACACTATAGGCAGAATCTCCAATTTCAGTCGAATCAGAAATGTTCCTACTAATCCATCAATGGAGAGACTGCAATGAACCAGTCAACAGCTGACAAAGAAGAAACAATGCAGTTTTGGGCAAAATGGGACAACCCAAAGAAATATAACAAGAGTGCAGCTTGGATAAAGGAGGTGGATAAGAATAAAAAAGAAGTTGAAATGAAAGAACTTGTAATAACAACAGAAATGGTGGAGGAAAGGAGGATCAAGAATTTGCCAGCATCAGGTGAAGATGAAGTGCATGGTGTTTGGTTGAAACAACTGACTGGTCTGAACCCACTCATTTCCAAGCGATTTAACATACTGCAAGGAGGTGAAATTGAAGATTGGTTAACATCTGCCAAAACCTACCTGATAATGAAATATCCAGCAAAAGGGGCAGCACCAGGAAACTACAGGCCAATTACCTGCTTACCAACAATTTTCAAATTGCTAACTGGTGTGGCTGCTGATGCAGTCCAACAGCATCTTATTTAAAACAAGGTCTTTCCATGAGAGCAGAAAGGATTCCACCCAAACAGCAGAGAGAAAAAACATTAGTTCCTAACTGACAAGATGATTTTGGAAAACTGCAAGGGAAGGAAGACCAACTTGAATGTAGCTTGGATTGATTACAAGAAGGCATTTGTCTCCCTGCCACATGACTGGATAATCAGGTGCCTAGAAATAACAGTAGAAACATCAGAAGCTTTGTGGAAAGATCAATGGCACAATGGAAGACAGAGTTGCTGGGAGAGGTTAATATCAAGAGAGGA